TAGGAATTTAGGGATCAAAGAGTTGTGGGTGATTTGTGTATCTCCGTTTCACTTGCCATCCCACCCCCCTATCCCTTTCTCATTCTCCTGCTCATCCTCCTCTTTCTCCTGCTCCTCCCCTCAATCTCATCCTCATTCTCAACAAATATTCACTGGATGCCAAATGGTTTGCCCTTGACTCGGTACCCACGTGGTCCTCCTCCTCCCCTCCTTCTCCTGCTCCTCCTCTCTCGATCTCTTTTTTTCCGTCGCCGTGACAGACAACAACCGGCTAGTGGCAGCGTGGGCCCGGCTTATGATAATCCCCCGTCCATGTTGTGCATGATGATCATCTACCGTTGAGGGCGTTTGCGCGCGCTCTGCCCGGTGATTCGGCCCATTTGGGGCGACATCGGTGCTCTCGAGTGTCGAGGTCAAATCTAGTCCAGCACGCCAGGCCACGGTTTTCAGGGGTTCTCGCTTGAAAAACGGGCTGTTGCAGCGGAAATTGGGCCAAACTCCTAACTGTTATTTTTCCTTTGTACTACTCTTGCTTTTTTAGGTTTTTAAATGGTTGAATTCAGGCTCTCAAAAACCTGCTGCGCCTTCTTTTGCCATTTTAACCCCCATCTGGTAAACTGCATTTTAATGTTTAGACCCTTTCCATGCCGTATTTTTACGTCATTGAATACGTTTTCTCCACCGGACGCGGTTCTTTTGCATTATCGAAGGGGCTATCGCGGACTTAATTTTATTCTATAAGTTTATAATGCCTAGCGATGCTATAGCAAGTATTTTAATAGCGTTTTAACAAAGAATTTAAAGCGTATTTTTTTAAAATAAAAAATCATACAAAAACCTTTTTGAAAATTTAAAAAGTGAAAATTTTCATCGAAAATCAGCCATTTCTGGTGAAAAATGGAGATTTTTAGATTTGTATGACAATTTGAAGTTTTACATTTAGGAATAGCGAAAAACATTTAGAAACGCTTACTGGTGAATTAATGGGTCAAGTCCACAATTTCGAAAAGTCTAAGATTTTATTGAACTTTCCAAGACTAACAACGAAAAACAATTATAAAAATTGAATTTACTTTATTAAGATGCAAGTAAAGGAGAGGAAAACAAAAAAATTGCCCCGCAGCCCCACCACTTCAACAGTACAGTACCAAAGAATCTCGAGCCTAAACCGCACTCAATTCGAGGCTCGATTCCGTAGACAAACATGCTATACCGCCACTCACCGCAGCCCTCATCCCCAGCCGTTTTCTGTGATCAAAATCCGCACACAAACAACACATTCAGTTGATCGATTACCCCCAAAAAATTTCCTGGCTTTACCATAATCCTCTTGCCGGCCAAATATTTACTTTTTTGCAGGGTTCGACCGAACGATGCGCGACCTCGATGAAAGAACACTCGATCTACAATCAGCACGAAGAGAGAACTATCGGTATGTTTTATCGTTATTTTTATTCTTTATAGTTTATTATTTTCGCTCTGATACTACACGTGAAAATAGTAGTAAAAAACTATATTTCAAGTGGAAAAAACAATAAAACGATTTTGGCTACGTTTTGACGTGGAAATGGAGAAATCCGGCCAGTTTTGGTCGAACAAAATCGATATTCCTGCATTTTTTTTTCTGAAATTTTTGAAAAGTTTTTCCGTTTAGAAATAGCTAAAAATAGTTTAGTCCACTGTTTGGCTTTAAAACAGTTTTTTCTTAAAGAAATAGGGTATTTCTCGAACCAATTTCTTACTTTTCCTAGGACTACCAACTTCCAAATTTCGTTGATTAGGAGAGTACAAAATCTCGATCTCTAACGATTCCACATGTTTCTACTTTTTTTTTTTCGCAGCTGAAATATAGCCATTTTATTTAAAACCGTTGGATTACATTTCTAGGCTTAGGAAATACCTTTAGGAATAAATTAACGTCTACAAATGCAAAGATCCCTTTATTTTATCGATTTTAATATACCTTTTCGCTTCCAGAGAACTGCGGCTACGAATCGACCGCTCGTACGATGAGATGCGCCGGCTTATCCTGCTGGCCGCCGTCTTTTTCCTGATTGGGATCCTAGTGCTGATGGCGCGGCTTCAAGTAATGTTTTAGACAAAGATGGTGCCCTCGATCTCCACGGTCCAGTAGACGAACGGCCACATTTCCCCCTCTGCCGCCACCGCCGCCCCAAAGCCGGCCATCAGCGCTGAACCGCAGCGTGATTGACTTCTTCTTCTTCTTCTCCTTTTGAAGGGGGCGTGGTGACGTATCCGAGACAAAATGAGCCCCTATTCTTGGCCCTCTTCGCGTTCCCTAAAAAGGCTACTGGAATCCAGAATACTACATGTAGCTAAAAGCAACGACTTCGTGATTCTTGCCCTTACTTCTTCCCGTCGTCTTTTATCTTGGCGTTGAGCAGGATAAAGCCCCTTTCTGTTTGGCCCCTCCCACATTTCGGGCAGAAGATTGACAGGGTGTGCCAAAAAAAAGACCACAGTTTAGGTCGAAATAACTCGCGAACGGTAGAGAATCGAAGGTACGTTACCATGCCAGAATGCTTAAATATGCTGGGTATGAAGATTTAACAGCAACTTGATTTTTCGATTTTTGGCGACGTATCAATACAAATGACACCCGAAAACTGTGCGTTCCGGCAAAACTTCGATTGCATTTTCTCAGTTTCCTGTGGTGGCTGGCATCTAGTTCTTATTAAAGTAAGTTAATGTCGGCAGCTAGTATGTACCTACAAAATTTAAGAATTTTTGAGGTCTGGTTGAAAAGTTAGAGAGGAATGAAATTTTGTATCGGAGAAATTTCGAAAATTTTTAATATTGAAAAAACCTATGGCGAAAACCTCAAAATCAGTTGTTGTGGAATACCCTACGGGCTTGACACAATCGCATAAACATATTAAGGAATTTTTTGAGATCGACGAATTTTCGAGTTTTTCAACGACCCCATGGTCATGGATTTTCCAGGTCTCGAAACCACTTTGGAAAAATATTTCTAGATTGCCAAAGGGGGCCTCATCTGTTTTATTTGCTTAGCTATGTAGGACTGAGGCTGATCTATCATCTACAAAATTTCGAGCCACCGTCTCCTTTTGGAAGGGCGCCTTTTGGGGCCTCAAAACGGTTAGTTCGTGCTTTTTTCCGAATCTTGTCACCATTTTATAAAATTTAGTCGCGCCTTAAAATTATCGTTTTATTTTTTATACTGATATAATTAGAATAAGCGCATCCTAAAGCCTTATTCATAAGTTTTTTTAACCAGGCGTTGGCGCCAGGAAAATTCATCGAAACCCGAAATAAACCGAATTCGAGGTTGCGTAAAAAAAAATTTTGGAAGGTGGGGTCGTAGGGATATTTTGAGCAATAAGACAGTGCCATTAGTTGAATAAAACTATGCAAAGATTAAAACAATTTCGCGTCGCAAAAATTTTAAGAAGATTTCTAAACTTCGATTTTGGAATAGGGTGATCTTCGATTTTGAGCTGAAAGTCACCATAATTTTGAATCAGATTGCCCCCACATTTGACGGGCGTAGATAATAACATCAAAGCTATAATCGTATCCATAAGATGCAGGTGGTTTTTTATTTTTAAAATTTCGAAAATTGACCCGGCTACTCGGACCCAAAATCGGCTCTCTGGCCTTGTTTTGCACTTGGCCTCGTAACTTTGTTATTTACCACCCAAAATCAGTAATTTTTCACAGGTTATCTTACAATCACCCCTAGAAGGCCCTCGAATAGAAAAATCGTCACTTTATGGAATTTTGTGATGGCATGCTAAAACGCGCTCCACGTGGGTTACTGTAGAAAACCGAAATTTGCGATTTTCGTGGTGTTTTTGCCATGGAATCGCTTCGATCTTTTCGGAAAACCAATAGTAGCAGTTTTTGGACCAATTGACCTTAAGAATTTACAAAATTCTGCCGCAGAATTAAAAAATCTGTTTTTAGTCTTTTTCATGAAAGTTTGTGGATAGTACGCTCTCGTATTTGGCAGTAAGGTGCCCCTACTTATTGCCTAACAACCCAGAAAATTTTAGCCGAATCGAAGCTAGGGGCCCCGAGAAAAGCGGGAAAAACGAAACCTACAGAACCCCGCTGGGGCACTTTTTAGCAAGCAATACAAAAATACCATAGTTGTGGTGGAATTTGGTGTGGAATCCGAGATTAATATTTGGATAGGTCATTGACAAAAAATCAGCCATGGGCAGCGAGTTATAAGCGAGTTAGGACTCAAGAACAAAAATAACGCAAAATCGCGAAAATTGTTTTGCTTTTAAAAAATGAAATTGACCTCGATAAATTCTAAGATTTTGCCATTACATTTTTACAAATTTATACTATTTTTAGGCCAAAAATTAGAATTTTCCCACCTCCCGTTCAAGAACGCACAATTTTCAGTCACCAACCAGCGTCAATAGTACAGTTTCGTACTCAAAAATCGAAAAAATCAAGTTGTGTTAAATCTTCATACCCAGCATATTTAAGCATTCTGGCATGGTAACGCACCTTCGATTCTCTACCGTTCGCGAGTTATTTCGACCCAAACTGTGGTCTTTTTTTTTGCACACCCTGGATATCCCAGACGCGCGCGCTCACTTCCGGGCCCCAGCCATGTCATGAACGTTTTCCTTTCATTTTATTATATGAAATTTCGGTGCTTTGGCAATATCGGGGGGAGGGGTTTCCGGAAGGTTCGTATAGTAAGTAATTGTTTTAATAATGCTTTTAGTAAAATTCCGCCGTATTTCAAGTGGAAAAACGAGCACAAATAAAAACTTTAAACCATTTGTTCGTTGAAATTTGATCGAAAATCAGCCATTTTTGGCCAAAAATCTCGTTTTTGTATTTTTACGTTAAGGGGCTGTTCAAAAACGTTTCGAAACTTGGAAATTTAGAAAAACGTTTGTCCCCCCCCCCCGATAATGCGAAAGAACCGAAATTTCTATACCCGCTTTTCAGGTAGCTGCCGAGGACATTTTCCGCTGGGCTCCGGTGATTTGGTTGTTGGGCGTCGTCGTTGCAGGTGGGGGAGGCAGATTTTTTTCGTTTTTCAGCCTATACAAATACAAAAGTTGGCTATAAAACTAAACTATAAAAACACACAAGTTCCTAGACCGACTTTTTAGGGACGATGATCAATCTGTTCCTGCAATGCGCCAAGATGATCGCCAAAAAGCGGAAGGAGCGCAGGCGGAGGAGGGCATCGGTACTGAAATCCCGAAAAAATCAATTTTCGAATTCAGATGGATTCCTCACAATTCTCCTCGCTATTCGCCAACATTCCCAACTCGTTCCCTGCCTGGCACCACCGCCACACCATGGCTGCTGCCGGTATTATTCATCCGGGTTTTCCGGGAAGGCATTGCCCCCATTCTCTAGGGACCCGGGCAGGCGGTTGGCACGGGATGCGATGGGCAGCAAGGAAAGCCTCCCGACGTACGCCGATCTTTTACGGGTAGGTTGGGAAAAGCTCATGAAAAAGCAGAAAGAAACAAGGTTCCTTGGCATTTCCGAACTTTTTCCCAGAAGATCGATAGTCGAGACCGATAGATATGGATCAAAAAATTTTTATTTTTTGATCAAGTAGTAAATACCTGAAAAATAGAAAAGTATGTAACCATTAGCAATTTTGGTGCTTCCGGGTTATCGGGGGTCGGTTATTTTAGCGGGGGTCGGTTGCGAACTTTTTTTCTATAATATCGTGCGGCTCGCTAATTAAAAGCTGGCCGTTTTTATAGACTTGTGTGCCGTTTGAAATGGTTCTGGACTGTTAGCGGGGGAGGAGACATTAAGAAAAACTTCATAAAACATGTTGAAAAAGATTTTCCTTTTCGGTGTAACGCATATGAAAATGGCTAAAACCGCGCTACAACCATAGATTTCGTGACTATAAGATAAATATTTTTATAATTTTTGATTATCGGAAGCTACTAAAAACAGTATTAAAATAAACCACAATTTATCACTAGGCAGGTATAGGCTAAACAAAAAGAAGATGCCAACCGACCCCCGCTAAAATAACCGACCCCCGATAACCCGGAAGCACCGCAATTTTGCTCAATTTGGCCGAAAAATAGACTTTTGACCCTCTCTTTTACCGTGGGAATATAAAAAGTTAGAACCGCCACGATGTTTTTATTCAAGACCGGATCCGAGGGTGAAAAATTCGTATTCTTTTAGACGGCCGCTTCGGTAGAAAGTCTGCCACCCAGTTATGAAGCGGCAACGCTGGCGGGTAGCCGGCCACTGATGCAGCAGAGATGCCCAGTGCATGGACGGGTAAGTACACCTTCAAACCAAATCATAACCAAACCCTAAAAAATTTCAGCGCCGAGGATCTGCATTGGGACTTCCGCTACAAACACCAAGGACGGAAACGATGGTAAACGAGGTCAAATAACGCCTAAAAAATGGCAAGGTTTCCGCTTTAGATATACTCGGAAAACGAGTACGCACAAAACACCACGGGTTCGCTGCCCAGCTTCTCGGCAGCTCTCTGAATTTAGCGTTTGTCAAAGATATTGAACAGCCACCACAACGGGTCCCCCACTACAAGTGTATTTGTGAATTTCCTAATAAACAGATTCCTTTCGTGTTTTTCATAAACAGACTTGGAGCACCTAAACAATTCATCCAAACAAAACACACAAAAACTGATGATAATAAATAAATCTAGAATTCTAAAATCAGGCACCGGTATCACTCTTCGATCACGCCAATCTTCTTTCGATCCTCGCCGATCAAGTTCATACTTCTACGGATCTTTCGCGTTCCTGAAATAAAGATTGTTGCTTATATAGCTTAGAAAGCGTGTAATTTTCCGCCCTATACGCAAAACAAAGACTACTATACGCAAAAACATGCCTGCATTTCGATCTGTCGATTCTTGACGACATTCGACTTCACCCAAACGAAGGCACCAAATCCAAAAACGATGATCCCCGCATAGACCATCCAAATATAGCGATGATCGTTGTCCAACCCATGTTTGTTCACCATCTAGACAGAAATTAAAGCCCAAATAACCATTTCCAAACCTCAGATCTATAATTCCACTTTTGCTTCTGTCCTCCGATGGTAATTTCCCGCACTTGCTCTGTTCGCCGAATCCGCTCTTCCAGGATATCCATTGTCCTAAAAGGTTTATATGAAAACAGGCTATCTTCTCGTACGTAATATCCCGCTGATCGGGCCCACGGTGCAGAGCTTCTTCAAAAGATTGCTTCGGTTTCGCCAATGCCTAGATATGAGGATACATGTGTCAGATAAGGAAAAGTTACCTTTACTGAACTCGACATGGGCCGCGTGATGCATAAATACGATCTCATCGGGGTGCCGAGTCTGGAGACATTTTGGAGCATCGTCTGGAAAGGATCGTTGAAGCAAATGTAATAACCTCTAAGAAACTTTATTAGAAAAGAAATTGTTTTAGAAATTTTAGAAATTTTAGAAGAGAGAAAAATCCGGCGAGTCCACTTGTTGACGACGCAGTACGTCCATGTGGTGATAGTAGTGTTACGGAAACGCGCTGTTCATATGAAGAAAATAGCAATTTACTAAAACATAATTTAGAAATAAAGGAAGAAATAAATTAAATACGATATAAAAAGCTGCGCCACGATATTTTAGCGAAAATTTGAAGTATTTTGGGCGAAAACCGCATAATTTACCCCGAAAAATCGGACGCCATTACCATGGCAACCTGAAGGGGCCGGGGACAAATAAACTTTTGGCGATCTGCTGGAGCTTTAATACTACAAAAAAATTGTAAAATGTCATGGACAACTACCTTATCATCAGCCGAATTGGGCAGGGCTCGTACGGCGTCGTCTTGAAGGCAAGAAATGTACAGGTAGGCTTGTTGGTAAAAAATTCAAAGGTTTTTGGGATTTGTTTAATACCGATTTAGACTTCTGAGGTTGTGGCGCTGAAAAAGGTGAACTTGCGTTCCCGATCGCGGCTCGACATCTTGAGAGAATTTTCTACGCTCAGAAACTGCCACCATCGCCATGTTCGTTCCATAAAAATCTCGGTAACCCGGTTTAGATCGTGAAGCTGCTGGACATCTTCTGCAGCCAGGACACGCTCACGATGGTCATGGAATTTATGGCAAAAACGTTAAAAGTGGGCAATTTCATTCATTCTTTACTTACTGAAAACACTATTAAAATCTTTACTGTTACATTACTAGGTATATCTACCCTTATAAGAAACAGGATTAGAACCGATAGTCTTAATTTTTATTCCTTTAGGCAACGATTATGGACACACAACGCCCACATACCGAGTGCTCGGCAAGATTCTTCTTTTCACAGCTGTTAAAGGGCGTCCGATACCTCCATCGGCTGGGAATTATGCATAGGGTTTGTCGCGAAATTTCCCATTTTGAAAAGATAAGTTGTTCAGGATCTGAAGCCCGAGAATATCCTCGTCAGCCATACCAAAATCGTCAAAATTGCCGATTTCGGGCAGGCGTGCCTGTATTTTCCGGATCAGCCGGATCGGGAATATGAAGAACAGGTAATCGGAGGCTAGGCCGGCTGGCAGTGAATTTTAGGAATTATTGGCGTTTCCTTATTAGTGTGGAGCAATTTTTTAGAAGGGCAATTAAGCGAAAACCTTTTATATTAATAGTATCGTAGCAAAATCTACAATATTTTATAACATTTTAAGCATTTTCCGCTTATTACAACATTATACAGCATTTTTCAAACACTTTAAAAACATGTTTTTAGTTGATTTTAGTCTTTTTTCATAGATTTCTGACCAAAAAGCCATAATTTTCCTTAGTTTTGACACTTTATCAAGGTATTTTTAGACTTAAAAATGTGAAATATATCTATATTATGCGTTTAAGGTGGCGACGCGGTGGTATCGTGCCCCGGAATTACTTTTTGGCACTCGCCGCTACACGCCGGCCGTGGATATGTGGGCAACCGGGTGTATTTTAGCCGAATTCTGGAATCGTTGTCCACTTTTTTACGGTAGGAAGTTTGTAATTTAGCTCTATAGAAAAATATACTTCAGGGTCGCAACGATTTTGATCAGATTGCCAAAATATTCGAGCTGCTCGGCACGCCGACGGCTGAGAATTGGCCCAGCTGGGGATCGGTGGGGTGCAATTTCGAGCTATTGGAGCTTTTGCATTAGCGGGGGGGAGGATTTTTCCCTAGAATCTAGTTTTTCGAATATAAACAAAGGTTGTTAAATTGTTTGTTTTTCTAATCCTAATCGTAAAAAGTATACAAAATATTTTTAAAAATTTAAACAATCCGAATTTTAAAAATTTAAAACTAAAAATACGAAAAATCGCAAATTTGTGAACCAAAACTCCTTCGATCGAATTCAGGTATACGATCTTAATTTTTTTAAACTGAAAAAAAGCTGAATTTTACAAAAAGGGCTCTTAAATAAAATAACTCAGCCAATCCTAGATGCCGGACAGCCAGAAAATCATTTTTGAAGAGCGACATGAGACGGAGAATTGGGTTCCGATCGGTGGGTTTTCGGGTTCTGGTGCATTAACGGGGGCGGGGGGAGGAATGGGCGTGGCCTCGTCGATGTCCCCCCGCTAACGCACCAGAACCTGTTTTGCTGGGGTTTCTAAAATGCGACGTTTACAGTACCGGGTGCGTCTCCCCAGTTTATCGCTGTACTCAAGATGCAACTGCGGCTCTGCGGGACGCTTAGGTGGATTTTTATGATTTTTTCAATTTAAAAATTAGGTTCTATACTGATAACGGGGTCCTTAAATTTTAACGGGGTCCTTAAAAATATCGGGGTCCTTAAATTTTAACGGGGTCCTTAAATTCTGCGGGGTCCTTAATTTTTAACGGGGTCCTTAAAAATTATCGGGGTCCTTAGATTTTATCCGGGTCCTTAAAATTAGGTCGAAAAAAAGTTAAGGACCCCGTTAAATAACGGGGTCCTTAAAAATTGATGAAAAAATTAAGGACTCCGTAGCTAAAGCTAAAAAAATAGTGTTGTTGTGTGCCAATCTGCATACAAGTTCCGTCACCATGTCCGGAGGATATCTCGATAGCCGATGAATTTTAAGATATGTATGATAAGTTATTTGATCCGTACTGGCCGTGAGATGACTGCACACTGACCAGATTTTACAAAATCAGTTATTTTAGACATTAAATTTAAGTTTTTGTAAAAATTTCCGGCGTCGACTTCGTTAGGAAACAATCCTAACAATCAATCCGAAGCGACTAGGCCCCGGGTGACACGAAGCCTTTTTTAGTCGCAGAGCGGAAGAAGTAGCGACTACTTTCCCCCCAAATCGTGTGACTCCTGTCGCAAAACAGTCTTCTAACGTTTCTATGACGAAATTCGGATGCAGGCAAAAAATAACCAAAGGCATGTGCCTAACAAGCACCGCGCCGCAAAATTCGCGCCGCCATCTTCGGCCGCAAAGTTCGCGGCACCTTAATTAGAAACTAGAGATGTTACGCATTTTTTTCGTCCTAATTTTAAGGACCCTGATAAAATCTAAGGACCCCGATAATTTTTAAGGACCCCGTTAAAAATTAAGGACCCCGCAGAATTTAAGGACCCCGTTAAAATTTAAGGACCCCGATATTTTTTAAGGACCCCGTTAAAATTTAAGGACCCCGTTATCAGTATAGAACCAAAAATTATTTAAATTTAGAAGTTCCGCCGATGCCCTATTACAAAACGAATTTTTCTCTGTAAGGGGCTTGCCCAGCTTGGCGAGCGCCTCGACTTCACTGCCTTCACTGCGACTGCCTCACCACTCCGCTCCGTCATCCCGTCCAGAGGATGCCAACGGAGTGGCCGAACTTTTGGAAAGATTATGATGTATTGAATAAAGCTTAATTCACATTTTTAATCAAGTTATTCTGAAAAGAAAACACGCATCGATAACAAGGCACGGTCTTTCGCATCGACGTTGTGGAAACCAACTTTTTTTTTCTTTGATATCTCGTTTTTCTAAGTCAAATGGAGGACGTATTTGTAAAAGTTTTACTAATTTCTAAACGCGAAAGCTTTACAAATTATCGTGAAAAATCAGAAAAATATAGATTTTTCCAAACTGGCAGATTTACGACCAAAATTTCGAATCAAAATTTTTTTGAAGTTTTAAAATAGTTTTTCGCCTTGAAGTATAGCTAGATTTTGCTAAAAACCTTATTAAAACGCCTAGAATATCGCTAGGCATTTCTGGACTCTTAGGGAAAATTACCCCCCCGCTAACGCGAAAGCACCATTTTTTCCGGAACCAAAGAAACGAAAATAAAGAACTGAAAAAGCAGCTTTTCTAACCACTTTAAAATAAAGTGTAAGAGATAAAAGAAAAAATATTTTAATGTTAAGGCCCGGAATGCCATCTGAAAATAATTAGAATACCATCTCTGCATGCATACCGACAACTTCCGGAAATCACCGTACCTTTCGAGATCATAGCCCCGCGGTCCCATCCCCGCGGCATTCATTTCTAATCGGCTATTCCCCCCAATTTCCACTGTCACCATGGATTTGAAAATGATGTACCTGATAACGGCCGCCGGTGCGTATGCTAATTTCTGATGCAAAAGATTCCAAATGTTCAGCGACCGCACTGGAGAACTGCTTGCTTCCCCTGCTCGTCCACGGCTTCTTCTGGATCATCTATGGTGCACTGGGACAGGTAGCTAGCAGCGGCCATTGAGGAGGGCCACTTGGGATAAGCCGACTTTTAAAGCTAAATTTCAGCTGCTCGACCGGTTGCTAACAATCTCTCAAAGAGCGGAAGAGGTGGCCCGCTACGCGCAGACGACCCAGATCTCCAACTTTGCGCTACGCATCGTGGGTTTTGAGGTTTGGAGTTGATTTCCGTGCTTTTAGGCCGGCGACCGGCTGAAGTTCGACCCGGATCTTAATGAGTTTGAGGTGGAAGTGCGCGAGAAGAAGCTTGGAGAGGTCGGTGATCAAGGCTTAGGCTTGGGCTTAGGCTTCAGCTTCGGATTCGGCTTAGGCTTAAGCTTGGGATTGTTCCACTTTCAATCTCAACTTTCAGATGGGAGCCCCATACACGAAGCAGACGCTCGTCTACACGAAGAAACCTCTCCCGCCCGCACCACCCGCCACCCCGAAGACGCCCAAGAAGAAGACCAAGGAGGAGGAGGAGGAGAAAAAGGAGGAAGAGAAGAAAGAGGAGGAAAAGAAGGAGGAGGAGAAGAAGGAGAAGAGCGAGAAAAAGTCAAAGGTAAACAGCTTTTCGATTTTTCTACTCCATTTAAACAATTTCCAGGAGGAGAAGAAGGAGAAGGAAAAGAAAGAAGAAGAGAAAAAGGAAGAGGAAAAGAAGGAGGAAGAGAAGAAGGAGGAGGAGGAGAAGAAGGAGAAGGAGAAGCAGGAGGACAAGTTCAAGAAGCCGGAAGACGTCGAGCAGAAGGCCCCCCGTCAAGGACCCGAACTATGCGGTAGATGAGCGCACTCTCGCTTATCAAGCTTCTTTAGACGCTTATGGGCATGGACAACGACGTGTTCGGCCCGAACAAGGGGCCCGAGAAGAAGAAGTTCAAGGCCCCCGAGAAGGTCAACAAGGCCGACGCCAAGGACCCGCAGTACGAGGTGGGGCTTTTGCGTAATTTGGTGTATTTTGTAGTTTGTAGCCGGTAGCTTTCCCTGAAAAATCGGGATTTTTTTTTCAGACGCTGGCCCACCTCGACACGAACATCTTCGCCAAGGTGCCGCCGAAGAAGGACAAGAAGGAGTTCAAGGCACCTGGAAAAGGTTGGCAGAATCTCGGGCTTGGGCTTGGCTTAGGTTTAGGCTTAGCTTAGACTTAGGCTTCGGCTCCGGCTCAGCTTTCGCTTTCTAACGCTCTTTTCTAGGTGAACAAGGCGGACGCGAAGGATCCGCAGTACCAGACGCTGGCCAACGTCAACGACGACATCTTCAAGAAAAAATAGAACGGCACCACCACTCCCCGATCGCTACTCGACGACTCCATCGCCCTCAACAAGTACACCAACCCCCCGCGAAGCGGCGATTTTTTCGGCGAATAAAGTTTTGCAAGGAGAAATAATTTGGCAATATGTGGTTCCCTCTCTCTCTCTCTCTCTCTCTCTCTCTCTCCCTCTCTCTCTCACTCTCTCTAACCTCTCTCATTATCTCTCTCCACAAAAATTTGTCCCTCATTTGCTTTGCCATGTCGTCGTGTTGGGCTTGCTTTTCCCCCTACATGTTCCCGGAACAGCCGCGTCAATCACAAGCCCCTGCCCGCCTCTTTGTGAAAAACATGCATACCAAGCCGCCGGCCCGACAAATGGACAAGTGGACCGACGGTTCTTTAGGATTTCCGGGGGGGGAAAGTATTTCCGGGGGGGGAAACCAAATTTTTCCTGGTTTTCTCGGTTGACCTAGTAATCAAATATAAAGTGTTTTCACATTGTTTTTAGTAAATTTTAACTATATTTAAAGTAGAAAAACCTTACAAAAAAGTTAGAAAAATGTTAGAAAAAGTCGAAAATTGGTCATTTTGGGTCTTTCCCCCCCCCGGTAATCCTAAAGGTTCTATAGGATTTTTCGACCTAAAATAAATTTTTTAAGTAAAATGTGGGTAGTTTTTATGCTCAGGAATAGTTAAAAACCATTTAGAAACGCATACGCTATTTAGAAAAAAAATTTAGGCTTGGGCCGAAAAAATTTGGTTTCCCCCCCCGGAAATACTTTCCCCCCCCGGAAATCCTAAAGAACCGGACCGACAAACAGACAGACCGAAAGACATGAAAGCGACAAACAGACATACACACACCAAAAACTAGCGCCGGCGCACGACACGTTTTTCGGCTGCATTTTAGAGTAAAAAAGGCGTGGCAGGCCTAAAAACGCGAAAAACGCCGTCAAATTTCAAATTTTTTAGCTCTATTTGAAATTGGGCACCAGGAACCGGTTTTTGGTTTCTAAGGGGTTTACAAAACAGTTCGGCTCCAAATACACCTTGGCCACTTGGTAGTGCGCTTGATTCCCACTCAGAAGGTCCGAGTTCGAGTCCCGCCCCTGCCAAATTGTTCGCTTTTTGCCCAAAGGGTTGTGGCGACGTTTCTGCGATTTTCCCAAATATGTTTGATATTTATAAGGAAGAGGAAGTCGAGGTTGCGAATTTTTCGTTCCGTGCCGCGGGACGCAACGCTTACGCCGCTTGAACGCCTTGGAAGGGCCGGCGCAGCCGTTGCGTGGAATCCATGCCCAGTAAAATCAAAAATCCATGACTTGCCGGCCCCCTTTAAAGGAACCTGAAAGCCAAGACCTTGGTGTTATTTTCACAAGCCTGGATTCCCGCCACCACATGCCCATAAATTTCGGTAAAAACCAGGGATGCCGCACCTGCTGGCCGCTCCGAATTAATGTCTTGGTCCCGATCCGGCGAGCCAGGATTCCGAGGCGATCCTCTGGACACGCGAGCACCTGTGCCCTTCACAAAATGGCTGGCCGTGGTCCTTCTCGATGTCGGCCAATAGATCTGGGATGTCGATGGGGGAAACGAGAGAGGGAGAGAGAGAGAGAGCGACAGACCCCAAAAAACACGACCAATCTCCACATGACGGACCCAATTTTGCGTGGAGACCCCAGGCAAGTTGGCCTGATCTATGGCCTCGGGCCATCCAGGCCCCACGCGCCAATGCAGGGAAATTGGGTAAAATATAGGGAAGCCTCGGGATAGCGGAGATCCTTGGGGAAGATTTGGGCAAGCTAGCGGTGATCATTGAGGAATTCTGGGAAGGCCAGCAGAGATCATTGAGGAGGTCGAGGGCTAGCTAGCAACTATCCTTGCGGAATTTTAGGAAAGGCTAGCAAATTTCCTGGAGGCAGCCAAGGGCTTGCTAGCAGACAATTTTTAGCATGTTCGTAGTAGACTAGCGGAAATTCTTGAGGCAGATGAGGGCATGCTTGCAGAAACCTTTGAGGAGGTCCAGGAAGGAAGACAAGTCAAGGTTTCAGGAGCTTTTTGAGGAGCCACGACGCTGGCCCGCTAGTAGTGATTCTTGAGGAATTCTAAGGTATGTTAGCAGAGACCATTTAGGAGGCTCAGGGCATGAATGCAGAGTGCGTTTAAGAGTTCTAGATAACGCTGGGAAGGATCCTTTAGGAGATCCAGGAAACGGAGCCTAGCAAGGACTCTTGAGGAAATCTACCATTAACTACGAAAGAACTTGCAAAAGCCTAGGGCAGGCCAGCAGAGCTCTTTGTGGATGCCCAGGGCATGCTAGCAGAGATCACTGCGTGTTCCAGTGAACACCAGCAAAGATCCTTGAGGAATCCTGAAGCAGGGTAATCTAGCAGAGATTCTTTGCGTCATTTTACATCTTCTAAGGCTTCTCAAACCCTAGATCCCCCATTGATATGAAAATAGCGGGGTAGTAAAATAACCCTTTCCCCCTCCCCTCGCCGGGGTCTCATATGCATCTTTTTTCCAATTAGGGCCCCGTGGCCCCTCATTTTTTGATCGTTTGTTTGCATAAGAGGTGGGCCCTAGGGGCCAATTGAGACCCCTCTACCCCCTACCCTATCCAACTAGGCTTTTCACAGCCGGGTTTTTGCCCAGGCTTGCCAGAAGCCACCGGAAATAATTGGGGAAGCCATGACGGGTGTATAGTTCTAAAAGAACGCTTGGCTAAGTTGCTTCTGTGAAAATCAAACACTCACTTCTGGGTTGCCTGGCGAGGCTCGCTAGCAGAGATCATTGAGGAAAAAGGTAAGCTAGCAGACATCTTCGAGTAATTACAGGGCAGGCTAGCAAAGATGATTGAGAAAATCTGGGGCTAACTAGCCGAGATTTCTCAGGAAAGCAGTAGACCCTTGAGGGGCAGGGCAGGCTAGAAGAGACCCTTGAGGAAACAGGCAAGCCAGCAAGTTGATTTAGGAAATGGCAGGCTAGTGAAGATTTTTGGGGGGTACGAGCGCAGGCTGGCAGAGATCCTCGAGGAAAGCTTGAGAAAAATATAGCAGAGAAACACAATTTACGATTCGATTTTCGATTTTCATTTTTTCCTTTATCGGACCCTTCGAAATATTGTGGGTTTTTTGGACCTTTACTACAGCTGCAGTCGCCATTTTTCAACCCAAAAACCTCGAAAAATTCGTGGGCATTTGCTCTTTTCACCCGGGATTCCATTGTTTTCCAGTGGGCTACCCCCTAACGCCCATAGCCACCACACACAAAAAGCCAACAAGTTCATTGTCGACTGGGTTTTTCGAGGACCCCACACGAAAATTGGGCGCATTTTAAAGCGGCTAGGAGAGGGGGAGGAGGAAGTGGCACACACCTAGAACGTGAGATGTAGATAGGTGTCCAACAAATGTTGGGCCATAACCGCGACAGGTCAAAACCCCCTCGGCAAAAATACCGAAAGCGAAAATCCCGACAGCGATAATCCTGAAAACCAAAAACCCCGACATCTTTTGACCATAGTTTGCGTGCCATTTCTTTTAGAACAGCTATTTGATCTGTCGACATTTTGTCATGCAGACATTTAAGCTGCCGGGATTTTGGCGTGTCGGTATTTTTGTTGCTTGGGTTTTGGCGCTCAAGATTTTAGCTTTCGGGATCATGACTTTAGGGATTTTGGCTGTCGGCATTCTGGTCTATCGGTATTTTGACTGTCGGAATCAAGGCTTTCGGACTTTTGACGTCTCGGGGAGCTTGACTGTCGGCATTGTTGCAGTCGGGATATTGACTGTCGGTTTTGTTGGCGTCACCGTATCAAATGGGGACCATCATAGCTAGGATCTTCAGCTTGGGTTTTTGTTGGTATTGCTGGCCTTTGCTTAGGTAAGCTCGTGCTCACCTCACAAAGGTGGCACCCGAAATAATTAGGAAATCCTGGGGTGGCGAACGCGCGCCCCCAGATCGGAAGCACGCGCCAATGCACAAAGCGCGCGTAATTTCGCACATTCAGACCCGTTGGTCTCATTGGCCTATTGGTGTGGGTCTCTTATTCACGGGTCCCGTTTCAGGGCCATAGATCGATCTCGGAGGCAATAGCCGAAAAGTCCGAGGAGGAGCCACTTGAAAAGTGCTAATGGGCAGTCCGAGTCACTCCGGGGGTACCGGCTGGAAAGAGGGGGAGGGATCAACTGAAACTGACTTTTTCAAGGCACGCTTTGTTTTAGGCTTAGGCTTCGCTTAGGTTGAACGTTGGCTTGGCTTCGGTTTGGCTTGGGCTTGGTCTAGGCTTAGGCCTAGGCCTAGGCTTAGTCCTCAATTTCATGTCTTAACCGGTTCTTAAAGGAGGAAAATTGTATTTTGTAGCTTCTGGTAATATTCCAATTGAAAATTTTCCAGTTATTTTTATCCATCCGTTCCGCTCCCTTCCAACAAACATCTGGCATGCAATTTTTCTCGGATCATAATGGCCAGCAAAAATAGCCATCAACATCTGGTCCGCACGCGACACTTTCTGGCCGTCAAAAATTGATATAAAACGCCGGCTTATTTCAGGGGTTTATATCAGGCATTGAATTCTATCAACCACAAGTCAAGCTACAGAGGCCCTTTAGGAATTAACTACAATTTTCGAGCCAAAAATGTCAGAAACCTGGGTTTTAAGGACCCACGGCTTTAGCTCTAGCAGAGATCTTTTCAGAACCGGACTGAATGTTGTGGATTTTCCTCTTACCTAGGGCCAGCTAGCAGAGAACTCTCAGGAATGGGACCGATTAAAAATTTGATAGAGAATCAGAAGCCCGGGTTTGGGGCTGTGGCAGGCTAGCAGAGGTCATTAGGAAAACCGAGGAATTTAGATTTTTTTCCTGGACCAAAAAGCAGCGTAGCAGAGATCCCTTAGGAATAGCGATTGCTTAGAAATTGGTTAACGACCGTCACCATACCTATCAGACTAGCAGCGGTACTCGAGGAAACCGGATCCATTTAGGTTTTTTGAAGGAAAGGCTGGCTAGCAGAGAT